AAAACATTTCTACATACATACATATAAGACTTTATGACGCCTTGCTACACAAACTACGCTTTGACGTAACTTTTACATGTATGTAGAGTAGTCAGAGAGTCAGAACGATGTAGGTACTGCACAAGTTTACTGTGTAGTCAGAAGTACTTAGGCAGATTGCAAGCCTCGGCTGTACTATAGCTTGTAGCTAGTAACCACTCTTCGCTTTTGTTTCCCTATTCACGATTCCTGACATGATACCCGTTGTGTATACTCTGTATACCTAAGTAAAATACTACACCACTAGGTACTGTAGGATGTATCCTGCAAATGTTGTCATAGCAATATTTATTTATGCGTAAATAAATAATGAGGACAGGGGTCAGGGGTGTAGCGGCACGATCACGTCGCTACATTACTTAGATACGATAGAGATAAGACACACATGTTAATTGTTGCACGCATCTTCTTAGTATATAAGCACCAGCAATTAAAGTAATAAACAGACCTTAACCATCTACAGTCTCATTATTTACCTTGCCACGAAGTCTGGCAAATTGGTGACCCGACGAAGAACAATCAACATGACTCATTCACCCTGCAAATCAAGCAGCAGCCAACAAGAAGCCTTGGAGATATCAGCCGGAACCGGAATTTTGGAGGGACCAACCCAGATTATGGTTTAAGCAACTAGAAGCCATAGTAGCACCACAGAAGCAAGGAGACGATTACAAGTACTATACGGTCATTGCAAAACTGCCAAAAGAAGAAATAATACAGGTTAGTGACCTCATTACTTGCCCACCGCCAATAGAAAAGTACAAGGCACTCAAAGTTATTCCAATCGTCGGCATCTCCTACCACAGTCAAGTTCAAGAGAAAGAAGGCACTTTTGTTTTTACCATGGAAGATTTAAAAAATATGCACAAAAGTGTGTTCAACCTTGTGATTGGAAACAGGATCTCAACTCAAGGAAACAGGGAAACTAATTGAAGCACGGACAACGGCGGAACTCTGTGCTATTCACCCGTCCAACCGCCTCACTATTACCGACCGAAAAAGTGGTATGAGATTTTTGATTGACACGGGAGCAAATATTTCAGTTATTAGCAAGCCACAGAGACATTCACTAATACAAGATGAACAATGTATACTTTATGCCGCCAATGGTACAAAAATTAAGACATATGGTGAAAAAACACTCTCTTTAAACTTCGGGCTACGAAGAAACTTTGTATGGAACTTTGTCATCGCCGATGTAACACAACCGATTATTGGAGCAGATTTTTTTAGAGCATTATAAGCTATTAGTCGATATAGCTGGTCGAAAACTCATAGATAGGGTAACTGAGCTGACAACGCCCGCAACCCTGATCAAATCGACGCAGCAAACAATCCGCACTATTAACATTGAGACGAATCCACGCATTACTCAACTATTAAATGAATACGAGGATATTACGAAACCAGCCTCCCTCCACACTACTCCAAAACACAAGATTAAGCATCATATTATCACTAAAGGACCAAGGAAAATATAAGGAACGCAGTATTAACAGTTCACCCCTCTCGCACCGCCCCTTTGGCACTTATGACGGACGCCAGTTCGACCTGTGTTGGCGCAGTTCTGCAGCAGAAGTCAGGACGTAATTGGGAACCATTAGGATTCTTTTCAAAGAAATTAAGTGATACTCAACAAAAATACTCGACATTCGACAGAGAGTTGCTCGGAATATATATGGCAGTCAAACATTTTCAAAGGTTAGTCGAAGGAAGAGAATTTACTATCTTTACAAATCATCGACCTTTGACTTACGCATTTTCCCAAAAACCGTCATCTAATGATACGCCACGGCGAATACGACAACTGGATTTTATTTCACAATATTGTACCAACATTCAACATATAGAAGGACGTGACAATATTGTAGCAGACGCATTGTCACGGATAGAACAAATTGATGTGCCATCACCGATTAATTATGCTGATTTAGCAAGATGTCAGCATGATGACCAAGAATTATTACGACTTCGTAATAACAAGAATTTAAAATTTTCAATCAGCAGAAACAATCAGCACAAATGCAGTGGATAGTTCATCGACTGACGCCGCCGTCACAACAAAGGCAGCAGTTTTTATTTCCTTCGAATTAGCAACAATGACATTACATTACGCATAGGATGTAATTTATCAGCAAGGTTAAGTTATTATATAATTAGGTACATACTAATTTTTTTCAATTTATATGTTAATTATTTTTAAAAGGGGGGAGTATATGTAGCGGCACGATCACGTCGCTACATTACTTAGATACGATAGAGATAAGACACACATGTTAATTGTTGCACGCATCTTCTTAGTATATAAGCACCAGCAATTAAAGTAATAAACAGACCTTAACCATCTACAGTCTCATTATTTACCTTGCCACGAAGTCTGGCAAAGGGGTAAGAGTGTTTGTAACGAATTTGATTTGATTTGAAATTCGAATTGTTTTTAAAAAGATGGCCAGAATTAGATGCGTTTTTTTTATTTTTATTTTGGTGGTCAACTATGCTGCAATCGATTTTTTTTTATTTATATCTATAGATAAATACCTACCTATGGAGGTTCGTAACAACCCTAATTTATGAAAGAATTTTACGCAAACTTAATACAAAAAAGAACAACATTATAAATGTCTCCTAACCTGTTTAATAAACTTCTAAGCAAGAAGTCCACTTCAAAATGAGGTTAACCTCATGCATATTAAAGGTTAAGGCATAAGTCAAGCTATTAAAAACCGCCGTAAAGGTAACTGCTACCTTTTTGTGAAATTACCGTAATGAAGCGTGGTAACCTCACTGAACTTTACATAATAAGCTCGTCTACGTCTAATAATATCCGCCTGTGAAGCCTCACAGTGAAAACTCTTTGGAAAAATTAAGGATAAAATACCTTTTATGAGTACTGTCCACTTGATGAAAAGTGGAAAGATCGCAGTAGGATCGTAATAAACTCATTTTACTAACACGAATGAAACGAAAGAAAGAAATTTAAAAAATACCATTTACACGTGGTAGACTCACTTCTAGACATCAATTCTATGGACGTTCCAAAGTTAAAAAACCTATGAGTTATATGTATATAGGTTGATGCTGTAGTTTACATGAAAAAGTGTTTAAGAGATTCATATTTCACTTAGGTCTCATTGAAAACAAAGACAGTGCCTTTTCTACTGTTAATAAAAATACATATTAGTAAAATAGTTTTACCGCCTTTCACCAGATTCATATATTTTATTCACAGTCAAAAAAAAGGATATAAAAAGGAAGGTCTCGTTGGCGGTGGCACGGGCACTGGATCTCTCGATTCCCTATAATATGGTTCAGTTGGGCGGTACTGGTGTACGTGTCATGTTCGTGAACTGGCGCCGCCTATTGGGACTGGTCATCTCCAGGCTGACTAAATACATATGTTGTCATTGAGGTTAACTTCTTTTTCGAATTCTTTGTCTAAATGGTAGTGTTACACTGTTCTCACATATCTGAACCGACTAAATGATGTAACAAAGAAATGAATTGTAAAACTGATTGAAAAAGAGTAACCATCGAACGACACTTTGGAACGAGCAAATAGCTTCACTAGAGGATGGACGGACAGACTGACACGCATAAAGTTAAACCTCTTGAAATATATTTTCTCTCTCTTTTTTTTCGCTTGACGTTCAAAAGTGCCTACTGTAGTCTAATTGAAATAAATGATTTTGACTTTGATTTGACTTGATTCGAAGTACAAGTAGTCCGTCATTTCTAAAATATAGACTCGGCGGCAGGAGAACTAGAAATAAAGTTAACTCTTTTAAAAAATATATTATATTTTCCAATACAATATTTAATAGAACATTGTACATTAAAAATGTACATTCATATGAGAACAATTGAGGCACCGCGACTTCGGCCCAGAGCAGAAGGAACGGGGGGTTTTAATCAGTAAGAGTCTGACACTCTCTCTCCCCTTTCCCTGGGCGGAAGAAGTCATTGGATGATTTTCCCCTGACAAAAAATAACATTTGAAAAACAAAGTTTGGGATCAACTCCACAAAAATAAATTTTCAGTTTTTTTTTCGTCTGTAACATGAAGCTCGCAGTAGCATACAGTGTAATTGATAAACCTATTGTATGTGACATACAATCCATATAAATTACGTTCTATATTCAAATTTAACTGGTACATAGTGGGTATTCAGGTGCTTACTCTATAACAGCTTAGGTTCCCATAAAAATAAGGCCTAAATTAGTCACAACCTAACTGTAACTTATAATGACCTTTCCATTACCGCGCTATTGTAGTAAAAACATTAAGTACACAAGGTATAATTTAAGTTGCACAAGGTCTACGTTTTTCATTAATTAAGTACCACTTGATTGATCACACCGACCAGTAATATGGACTTTATGCTAAAATAGACACATTAAAAGATTAACCTAGTTTGACCTAAATAATAAAATAGCTTTTTTACTCAAGGGATTTAGAAATTGGCTGCCGTACAACGTGTCGCGGGTTCGTTTCCCGCACGGGACAACTCTTTGTGTGATCCACAAATTGTTGTTCCGGGTCTGGGTGTGATGTGCATGTGAAATTGTATGTTTGTAACCGCACCCACGACACAGGAGAAAATACCAATATGGGGCAACGATTTAAAAAAAAATTGACTTGCGAGTCTTTCTTATGGTATTGGTCGGCAAACGAGCAGACGGATTACCTGATGGTAAGCAACCGCATTGCAATATCAAAGCCGTAATACCAAAGAAGTTACTAAAAGCGCGTTGCATCTTCTGGGTTGTTAGGGATTTACGGATTTGAGGATGGAGAATGGGGGATTTGTGGATTAGGCGTCCGGTAACCCCCACCGGTTTTCTGCGAGGCCGTGGTATCAATCCGGTCCAGCCATTCATGCAATGCGTAATGCATGCAAAATTCTGAATGCGTAGTAATTCAAAGTCGAAACAAATAATAATTTGTCTTTTATGATTTGCAGACTTTATCAAGTGCGCGTGGGACTCCGTGTGTCTCCGAAGGTACCGGTGCACATCGAGGCATCGGTGTCGAGTGGCAATGGAGCCGCCCGCACTGGCCGCCCCGCCGCCAACGCATCGCTGGTCGGCGGGCTCGCTGCCTCCAGGGCCTTCCAGATCATGTACCGCAACGAGGAGGTCACGCTGCGGGACATCGTGCATTTTAGAGCTCATCTCTTAGGTATGTATAAGTACACGTGGCTTGCAAAGTGGGACAAATGAAAGATATTTTTTATAATAAAATGTCCACGGGCTTAATAGTTTTTGATGTCATAAGTCCGCAAACGATCAGACGCATTACCTGATGGTAAGCAATCAGCGCCGACCTTGGACTCACGTAATACTAAAGGAGCTACCACTAGCTGCTACTACAAGGGCCTCTCGTGGTTCATTAGAAATTTGTGGATATTTGTTGTGGGGATTTTTGGATTGAGGATTGGGGAAGGTGGGAAGAGTTGGGCCTCCGGTAACCTCACTCACACGGCAAAACACAACGTTGTTGCTTCACGTCGGTTTTCTGTGAGGCCGTGGTATCACTTCGGTCGAGCCGATCCATTCATGCCGAAGCATGACTCTCCCCACGACTCTCCCACACTTAAATTTTATATTAATTATTGTACAATTAACTACCGTTATATCTGGTAGACGAAAATAACTAAACTAATTAATCTTAAACCAAAGTTCTACATTGAGAACAAAACTGTTAGAGATTACACAATGACAAGCATTTGGAACTCGTTGCTTTCGTTCTTATAATAGAAGGTCACTGTTGCCCTAAATCGATAGTTTGCCAAGAAGTGCCAAGAACTGTTTTGTTGTTTGTTTAGTGGACAGTAGGAATCTGAAAGAGTCTTTGGAGAGAGCGGAATGGAGTCTTGGAGTGGAGTTGTGGTGCAGTGAGGGGGCGCAGTCCAGCACCCTGGCGCCGATGTCCTGTCGGGTCCTCAAACTGCACTTCCAGCCTTCCCAAGGCCTCCACTACCACCTGCCGGTTCTATTCGACTACTTCCACTTGTCATCCGTCTCCATCACCATCCATGCGAGCCTAGTTGCTTTACATCAGCCGTATATCAAGTAAGTATGCCTAGATTGAAAAGTTATTTTAACCAAACTAATATTATATTTTTATATTTACATTATTAATGCGAAAGTAACTCTGTCTGTCTGTCTTTTCTTCACTCCTAAACTACTGAATCGATTTCTGTGAAATTTGGTAAGAACAGACATAGTTTGGTACTCGAGAAAGGACATAGGATGGTTTTTATACCAAAAATCTGCAGGACGTCGCCATTCCACAGGAACGGAGTCGTGGGCAAAAGCTAGTTAAGGAATAAATGTTAATATTTAAAATCAAGTGTTATTTTTTCCTTTTTCGAAAGGAAAGAATACATTAATGGTTACCGAAGGGTCGAAGGTCACTGGAAGACTTGTTGATTTAATTAAATATAGTAATTAAATTCGTAACAAATTAATACTAACTCCACCTGTCATTATTATTTCATGTCTGTCCGTCAATCAAGGAAAAGTATAATGCATTATGTGCAAAGCTGGTAAGTTATGTCAATAAGTTCTATCTATAATTTTGACATGTTATTTCATTAATCATATGATGTGGTGGCCCGGAAGTTAAGGCGTCCGCGTCTCATGCATGAGGGTGCGGTTTCAAAACCTGGCAAGAACCAATATGACTTTTTACCTTCTTGTCAATAGTTAATGAGATTATTTAGACACCACTGATATACTCGTACGGTGAACGAAAACGTCGGGAGGATACTTGGTCTTGTAATTTCTAATGAAATGTTTGAAATCGCCAATCCGCCTCGAGCAAGCGTTGTGGTTAATACTCAAACCTTCTCCGTGTGTGAAGAGTTCTTTGCTCAGTAGTAGGTACTTATAGACTGATGATGTGATTTTCATAAAGGTCATAGATTATTTTGCTACTAAACCTCGCATTCAGCAGAATAGAGCAAACAGATTTTCTGATGATTAGAAATTAATATTGTCCATTGAAACTCGCAATAATAGATTTGGACCTCCGTTAGTTGATTAACAAAACATGTCATATTTTCCCCGTATCAACTTTATGTATTTCTACTATTTTAGCACACCACGATCAAGTAAACAATGGGGCAAATTGATGAAGAGCGCTGGATCATTCAATACCTCAGGAAGCTTCGAGAATGTACTATTCGGATCCACCGGCAAATGCGCCGGAGGTAACTCTAGCAAAATAGCGCATGCAAGGTTAGTATACCACATAATACCAACTAACTGTGAGACTAAAAAAATATATTAACATCTTACGCTGACATAATGAATCAAATTAAAAATTTTGCCGTATATTTTTTTCCAATCTTTGTCTTGTCCTATTACAATATAATAACTAATAATTAAATTAATTAATAATACTTTATACAATATAACCCTTGATTAAATCGCCTTTATAGTATTTATGCGATAAGGTTTTTCGCATAATTAGCTCCAACTTGCAACACCATAGATATAAGAAAAGAGTTGCTGTTAGCTGTTTTTTATATTTCTGTGCGCAACACCAAAACTTCGTCGTTCGTATTAGAACATATTGAACTTAATATCTGACCAATGTACACCACATATCCACAACATAAGGATTACAACTTATGTCAACGTCAGTACACCATAACATAAGGGTTTTAACAACTATCAACATCAAGTAAACAAGACTTTTCAACACACACGAGGAGGAAGGAGAACGACATGGGGAAGGGAAGGATTGGGCATCCAGTAGCCTCAGTCACACAGCGAAACAAAATACTGTGGTTGTTTAACGCCAGTTTCCAGTCGAACCGAACCATTCGTGACGAAACATGACTCTCCTACATTTAGATTAACCAACAAATTAATAAAAAACTTTGTACTTACATTATTAAAATATTAAATTTCCATTTTTCAGGCAAGTCCACGCTGAAGTGTGCGGGATCCTGCTAGGGTCACTGGAGGGCCTGCAAAGTGCTCTAGCTATGTGTGGCTCCCCTGGTATCCTGCTTACTCCTGAAGAATCCTCCTCCAATTCTGTGGTCGGAGAAGTCGCGCAGAGACTTAAGGATCTTAACGACTTTGGCAAGGTATGATGAGGATGGCATTTTACAAACAAGTCCAAGCAATATAAATCAATTAAAAATTTCACAAAAATCTTAATTATCATAAGATAACTTATATTGATATGACAGAGTCACCAAAGGTCTATTTAAATTTAGGGACAAATTGTGGGATTGATTAAAGCCAATTACTATTTTTTGATTCTTATGATGTGTTTTATTAGTCGTTTGGTAATAAGTTTACTGTAGAATGATCATTATATTCTCAGAAGTTTGAAAAGTCAGAGTGTGGTGAGGAGGAGGAGTGGGCGATGAGCGCGGCGCACGACATCGCGCGGCTGTGTGCTGAGGTGACGCTGCGCTGGCGCGCCTTCCTGCACCACGCCTCCGACAGGCCACACGTACACCATGCGCTCGCCGCCAGGCATCATGCGCTGCGGTACCATCTTCTTACACCTCTATTGTGAACTTTTTTAATCGACAATTGTAGCTGGTAAAAATAGAAAGTCTAACTTTTTAATCACCCGACCTCCCGAGCGGCGTCAGCATTGTCTGTTATGCTGACGACACGCTGGTGCTGGCGAAAGGGAGGTCGCATCAGGCGGCGGCCGACCTGATGTCACAAGCGGTTGCGACAGTCGTTGCAAGGATCCGGCAGTTGGGACTCGAGGTGGCGCTCCACAAGTCCGAGGCCATGTGTTTCTATGGCCGTCGGAGCGCGCCACCTCCAGGTGGGTCCCAAATAACGGCAGGAGGAGTTACCATCGGCGTCGAGTCGGCGATGAAGTACCTGGGTCTCGTCCTCGACAGCCGATGGAACTTCACGGAGCATTTTCGTCGTTTGGCCCCTAAGTTAGAACGGTCTGGGGCCGCGCTCAAGCGGCTCCTTCCCAACCTCGGGGGGCCAAACGCCTCCTGCCGGAGGTTGTATATGGGGATTGTGCGATCCATGGCCCTCTACGGTGCCCCTGTGTGGGCGCCGGCCTTGAAGCGGCGGCCGGCTCGTACGCTGGTCGCGTCCCAGAGGGTCATGGCTATACGAGTAATCCGCGGGTATCGCACGATCTCCGGGGAGGCGGCGAACCTCCTTGCCGGATCACCGCCGTGGGATCTGAAGGCGCTCGCGCGCGTCTACAGTTTGCGCGCAGACGCGCGTCGCCGGGGCGAAGATCCTCTGCCGCGCCAAATTAGTGCGTGGCGGAATGAGCTCCGGCGAGATCTCATGGCAGAGTGGAAACAACGACTGTCGCAACCGAGGGCCGGGCACGCTACCATAGCAGCGGTAAAACCCCTCTTTGAGGAGTGGCTTGAGAGACGCCACGGCGTCCTCACCTTCCGTCTGACGCAGGTGCTTACCGGGCACGGCAGCTTCGGTAGGTTCCTGTTTCGGATTCAGCGGGAGGAAACGCCCGAGTGTCGTCATTGTGAGGACCACCTAGAGGATACGGTGGAGCATACGGTAGCGGTATGCCCTGCCTGGGCTGAGCACCGCCGTATCCTCAGGGAAGTGATCGGCGGCGGCGACCTCTCGCGCCCGGCCTTAGTCGAGGCCATGGTGCGGAGTGAGAGGAACTGGGACGCCGTCTCCTCCTTTTGTGAAGCAGTCATGCTCGCAAAGAGAGAGGCGGCCCGCGTGAGGGAGCAATCCTCCTCCTCACGCCCCAGCAGCCGCAACTGGCGACACTACGGGCGTCGGGGATCGAGGGACGATCTCCGGCCACCGTAAGTACGGGCCTGCGGTCGGCGAGTAAGGGCAGCTCGCCGCCCGACCAGAACCAGGCCCGAGCGTACGGCGCGTAGCGTTCCGCGCGCGCCTCAAAGAGCCAATAGACCACCACAGACGGGGCCCTAAAGGGCTGATGTTCAGCCGGGGTTGCGGGGTAAGCGCAATGAGGTACCGCGACCTCGGCACAGAGCAGGAGAAGGAACAGGGGGGTTTTTAGTCAGTAAGAGTCTGACACTCCCTCCTGCCCGGCCCGGGGGGGGGAAAAGTCATTTGATGATTTTCCCCTCACAAAAAAAAAAAAAAAAAAAAAAAAAAAACTTTTTAATCACACTTTGTTTGCAATTTTAAAAGTCATCTCCAAAATATTGTAGGTCACTGCGTTTTAAGGTCTAGTATATCATTTGCAGCATAAAGCGGTTCTCGGAGTGCTTCTTCGTGCTGGACAACCCTCGTCACTCGCTGGCGGGGTGCTACGACAGCAACTACCAGTCGTACCAGAGTGTGGGCGAGGCGGCGCGGCGCTCCCGGTACCTGGCGCTACTGCCGCCGCTACCCGTGCACTGCATCGCACTCGACGGGGACCCACACATCATGCCTATCATATTCGAGGACAGGTCTCTATTACATTGCCTATAACCAATTCACACAATTATCAAGTAATAAAAGCCATCTGAAATTTACATGTTCTTTAAAATTGATCCAGATATCAAGACACAGCAGAATTTGCGCGACGACGTTCATTCCTGAATTCTAGTGCAAGCAAATCAGGAAGCGGTAAGTCGCACAATATTCCTTGATTACTAATGACATCTTGCACAATTCTAATCTAAATGTGTCTTAATGCAGATCCTTTCCTATGCTCGGAGCCCCTTGGAGATGACTGTGCATGTAGTGTAAGTTCACTCATGGACTCCAGAAGACCATCCTCTGAAGCGTCCAGAGTCACCCTCACATTGCCTAAAACAATCATCAAGCTTTGCGAACCAAAGTTCAATACACCCAAATCCGGTTCTGGTGTCGTTTCAGCAACTTTAACATTAGCTCCCCAAAAATCAGCCCACGGATCCCCCAAACGAACTGTAGTCAAACAAAATGTTGTCGAACTTCCCAAGGCACATAACAAACAACTTGAGCTCACGGGACGGAATAGATATATTGTGCAGAACAACCTCATTAGCGAGATCCAACTGCCACCAAATAATGCGTTCGCTTCATGCACGATACAACAGGGACAGACGATGTCGCGATACTCTGCGTCAACTTTGCTTGATATTAATACAGCAAAAAGTGCTTCCAACGTGTCGCATCTAGGCAAGGAGCAATCTGAACCAGGACTTGAAATATTTCGACAAAAACACGAAATTACTAGCGGGGTGAGCACTCTACCAGCTAGACACAGCAAGTCTCTGGATCAACTGCGAGTGTCTCAACTAGCGCCGCTCAATACTACGCAAACGCTGACTAAGAATGTGAGAAACGGTTCAAATTCGTCCGTTAACTATCCGAAACCGTACTTACCACCGCAACAAATCAAGCCTACCACATTACCAAGAAGTGTCACAACTAGCGCTTACCCAACAAATACAACGACTAGATGCAGTTCCAAAGGAGATGATTATAGAAGAAATATAAGTGAATTTAGAGAAAAATACAAAAATCCTTGCATCAAGAAAGCTGGACATGGAATAAACAATGAAGTGTTTCATAATGTAGGCTATAAGTACGACGGAGTGATGAAACCGAATCCTAACCAAGTGTACGGCTATACTTTCGGTAATCAGGGTAATCTGCAAGTAAACAATGTTATTCGTAATCCGTTAGAGTTTCAAAGAGGCTACAGTGTAAATTTACCCCGTCCTATGTTGCCTCCACGTAATTCTTACCCACCGGTTAGTGGTAAAAATCAAGTGACTGATCAAAATAACTTAGTTTCTAATAAACACGTACATAGATCTAATTCTACGCATGTGTTTCATCAAAAAGTGGAAAATCAACAAATTGACATTGAAGCTGCTCGCAATCAACTTCGGCATGAGCTCAACTACTACCTACAAAAAGGAGATTGGAGTTACGATTTCAATACAGGAAGTTTAATTCAAAATTATCAAAAGAAATCTAGCAAAAGCAGTGATGACAGTGGATTTGTAATGACTTTAGATAGAAGCAGCGATGGAACATCAAAATCGACTTATTCAAAAACTCCACCATCTACTCCACACTCAACTATGCCATCGGTTAGACATAAAAAGAGTAGATCCAAAGAGTCAAAACTAAATAACAGTGGAAAAGAAAATACAAAAATTAATTCAAGTCGAGATTCATTGAGCAGTCACCATTCAATAAAATCTCGAGATAGTAAATCCGATCGTCACACATCTAAATCAGAACGAAGTACTCCAAAATCTGACCGTGCCACACCACGGTCTGGCAAATCTACGCCTAAATCCGGTGGGTATACTCCAAAATCAGGTTTAGCTACACCAAAATCCGGTAGAGCTACGCCAAAATCGGGTGCTACAACACCAAAAAGTGGTAGGTCAAGTGGAAAACCAGAAAAACGTACGAAACACAAACCCTCTGAAAAAATGACTCAGTTAATGTCGGAAGCGGCGTCATCGTCCAGTAACGAAAGTATACCGTTCGAGTTAAGAAGATTAGAATCTTCTACTAGTGTCCCTTATAGCCTCGATCACGGGCCTGAGTTATTACGACATTGCAGAAGTGCGGCATCTGTTTTAGATGAACCGAACCTCAATAATACGTTCGGATCCGAATCTTTACCTAATTTAGCCCCACCACCAGCATTTGAATCGCCTCCACTTGATATAGCAGATAAAGATTTTAAAATATTGCCTCCCAAAAACTTTTTAAACAATGAAGAAAAACGTCGCAGAAGCACATCGACTTCAAGTTTAAGTGAACAAAGTGGTTGGGTTTCTAGTGGACGCAGTTCAGGTCCTTCCTCTCCAGATAATGCAAGTTGTCAATTAAACCAGAATTTCGTACCTCCAAAACCAACAGCATCCAAATCATCTAGTAAAACTTATGAAGATACAGGTGAAATTGGAAAACATGATGGTGAAACCATCAGTGATTTCAAACGTACAGTCCTTAACGGGGATCAGCTACGAGAACGACTCTTAAAGTTAGCCGTAAAAGTATCACAAAACACTTCGAATGAGAAAATAGAATGCTGTGATAAGGAAGTTTGTGAAGAATGCACCATCTGTAGCGACTCTATTTGCACAGATAGTCAATGCGAATATAATAAATTGGTACACAGTAATGGCATAGACGCGGGTTGCAACTCAGACACTTGCACGGCTAGTTGTTTTCAGCAAATAGCTGAAGCCAACGCTGTGAAAGGAAATCAACGACATAACTCGTTTAGTGCTGTACAAGGAAAGACGTATAGCTCCTCATCTAAAAGTCTTAATGAGGGAACGGTGAAAAAATCGCAAACAATGAGTGAAAACTTACACCCTTACATTAGAAAAGAAATCCCACAAAAACCTCAGCCAGCAGCACCTGCGAAATCTCAGTCGCTAGACAAAACTAAGTTGAAAGATAGAATACAGTATACGGAGAAATTAATAGCAGCTGAGATACGAAGCTTGACAGTGGATCGCTCTTGCGTCAAAACTGGAAGCCACAAGAAAGGCAGTTCCAACTCAGGGCAGAAATACTCGAGCAAAGCTAAATCTGAAATTGACTTGGCCCACTTCATGGGTGACAACGATTACGAACATTTACCTCCTCCGCAACAGTTTAGAGATGCTCCACCTCCTCCAGATGAATTTAAGGTAAGTTTATTACTTAGAACTTGGAACCACAAAACAGATTTATTTATGAACTTAATCAACAACTTATTGTTTTAGGATCCACCTTCAAAATCTCCGAAGCTCAGCAGACAAAGCAGCAAGTCGTCTACTCCATCGAAGACTCCGAGGAAGCAGCAAGTTCAAGCTTCCTCGCTCCAGTTGGACAATCCATTGTATCACGTATGTGAGGGTGAGTACGAATGTGAGTGTCTGTTTCATTTGTTAGTGCTTCTGCTATTAACACCTTCGCTTGGCCATAACAGGTATAATGGAGAGGCGGAAACTGAGGCCTCACCAGTCAGTAAACTCTAGCAGTGCGCCCTCTGCTGGCACGCTTAATAAAAGTCAGAGCACCGGGGAGTTGGCGAGCAGAAATGATACCGGTACCTAATGTTTTATTACTAACCACTATTAACCATAATATTTTTTCCTTGAATCACTATTTACATTTTAGGGGGAGTTATGTCGTTGTTCAAGCTATACAATTTATTAATTTAATTATAGTTATTTACAGAAAATTTATGTTTATGTTTACAGAGCAAAGAGAAAGTAATCTCGTCAGTATATTCGGCTTGGCCGAATCTGAAAGGTTATTCGTGAAATGCAGAGAGGAGTTTAGACAAAGCGTCAAGTACCCGGGCGCCATCTACTCGGACTTCCCGCCGGTTGAGAACTCTTTACCTTACTTCCATATCAGCGACGAGTATAGAATGTTTAACCCCGAAGGTAAGATATTCACAAACTTATATGACATTCTAACCCTTTACGACAAAAGTGTGGAAGAGCCATGCTTCGGCACGCATGGGTCAATTCGTTTGATACCACGGCCTCACAGAAAACCGGGTGAAACGACCACAGCGATGTATTTCGCCGTGTGAGTGAAGTTTTCGGAGGCCCAATCATTCCCCTTCCCCAATCCCAAATCCCCGAATCCTTAATCCCCAAAAGATCGTACGATGTTGCTTGCATCCACGGGCGACGCTGATTGCTTACCATTAGGTAATCCGTAAGCACGTTTGCCGACCTATGACATAAAAAAATTAAAGCACAAGAGGTTGAAAAAAGAAGATTTGTACCTAGTCAATTACCATAGCAATGATGGTCAAATACTGATAAGCGATTTTTTTACAATTCCAGGTTTGCATCTAATAATCTGCGTTCACGGCTTAGACGGCAACGCGGCGGATCTCCGCCTCGTGAAGACTTATCTAGAACTAGGTCTGCCTGGGGCAAGGCTAGACTTCCTCATGTCTGAGAGAAACCAAGGCGACACTTTCTCCGACTTTGACACCATGACAGATAGGTGAGCGGTAAAATATTACTCTTTAAATTATAATCGATTACTATTTTTTATTGATTGATATTTTCTCATCGATAAAATGTGTGGTATATATGTATCTATCTAAGCCAAACCAATTTACAACGAAAATTTAATTACACGGCCAGGTATAATGACTATTTTATTGAATGTACCTAATAACATAAACGTCAAATAAATCATTTAACATTTGTTTTAAAATAAACAAAACTAGCGACCTGACCCGGCTTCGCGCTTGTGCAATGCTGATACTAAATTTCTCCACTATTTAATGGATGTTATTCTACGTATATACCTTCCTCTTCAATAACTCTATCTGTTTAAAAAACCGCATTAAAATCCGTTGCGTAGTTTTAAATATTTAAGCATACATAGGGATTTAGGGACAGAGAAAGCGACTGTTTATACTACGTTTAGTTCGAAATGAACATTCATTTTAAGTAGTCAATAATTCAATTTTCTATTTACAGGCTAGTGCAAGAAATCCTGACACACATCCAGAATTCGAGCGACCCAGCCCGCATAAGTTTCGTGGGTCATTCTCTTGGCACGATCATCATTCGCTCAGCACTAGCCAGGCCGCAGATGAAGCCATATCTCTCCAAACTGCACACCTTCTTGTCACTCAGTGGACCTCACCTAGGGACTCTGTATAACTCCAGTGGTTTGGTTAACGCTGGTAAGTTGTAACCTTTTGATACCTAGTAATTGTAGTCAGTAATTGTCACCAAAAGCTGGAATGTGTCATCCTCTTTTTAACTTATTATTTTCTATAAAAGAAGTTTTGTTTTAAACACCACATTTTACGTCCCATCAGAATATAACTACATGCCCACTGGAAAACGTTTTTGTCACATAGATAAGGAATTAGTATCTATTAATAATCCCGAAATTATAATTAGAAATTTATGCCAGGTTTCCTTTTAAATATCGCTTACAAAGAATTACTAAATAGAAATCTGAGAGTCGCACTTGCGAACAATATAAGTACCCTATGCAAGCTTCTTAACTCCATCCAATATTTTCCAGGCATGTGGTTCATGCAGAAATGGAAGAAGTCGGGCTCCCTGCTGCAGCTGTCTCTCCGGGACGCATCAGACCCTCGGCGCTCGTTCCTCTACCGGCTGAGTGAGAGGAGTCAGCTGCACCAATTCAAACATATCCTGCTCTGTGGTTCTGGACAAGACCGATACGTTCCACTGCACTCCGCCAGGCTGGAGCTCTGCAAAGCCGCGGCTAAAGACACGTCGCTTCTTGGACAAGCCTACAGGGAGATGGTAAGTATCCTGCATTATTTACCTTTGTCTCTACGGGAGGAGCTCAAACCCTCTTACTCAAAAGAAGCGCCTATTCCACCAGGATAAAGTAACTTTTCTCTTTTCAATTTTACTTATTTTGTTAATGTTACGTTATCTTTGAGCTCTATTTCAATTATTTTTGGCCACACACAACGTTATCTAGAAATGTATAATAATATTAATATTAAATAGCTACCTACGTTTCTATTAGGTACATGTTATTCCCGGTATTCTAAACTAATCACGAAAACTTTATCGTTAAGGTCAGTGGCATTGAACTTGGTTAACAAACTGCCACGAGTCTTTCTATAGCTGTATTAATAATAATCTATCGCTTTAATATAAAATTCGTACCATAATATTATTTATGTCATCAAATGACTTTCCTTGCACTAGTGAAGTGGGAGTGTCAGACTCTTACTGACTAGAATCCACTCCGTTCCTTCTCCCACTTAGGGCCGAGGCCGCGATATTTTCAGATCCTGGTTAGAGCATTTTTCAGGGGCGCAGTTTTGAAAGCACCAGGTGTATAATAGGCTAGTTACGTCACCGATAACACCTGCTGACATCAATACCTAACCTAATTTTAATCTGTCTAAAGCACATCAAAGTCAAAATCATTTATTTCAATTAGAGTCTTAGAGGCACATTTTGAACGTCAAACAAAACTTAAAGAAAAAAGTACCAGTCTGTCGGTCTGCCTAGTTAGTGAAGCTATTTGCTCATCACAATATAGCCACGACATAAACATGTTTATTCTGGTCTTCTATATAATAATAAGGTAGTTTCTTAAGTCTCTCATGGGCGGAGAATTAGGGTGCAGTTCCATTGAGGATCCACATCTCTCTCTGATATGATGATTTCAAGCCATCTGATTGGTGAATCGCGGCACAGCTCTTCTTCGCTCCGCTCCGCTCCGCTCCGCTCCGCTTCAATGGAACTGCACCCTTAGGCGGTGTGGTATAGAGGCTACAGTTTCTATACAAGTGGTGTATATGCAGGTACACAACATGGTGTCCCCGCTGGCGCGCGCGGCGGGTACGGGCGGCGCGGCCGTGGTGCGCTACGAGGTGCAGCACGCCCTGCCGCACACGGCCAGCGCGCTCGTCGGCCGCGCCGCGCACATCGCCGCGCTCGACTCAGACCTCTTCATCGAGAAGTTCCTGCTCGTGTCCGCGCTCAAATACTTCCGATAATACAACCTCTGCTACCCCCACCTCCAACCCAACACCCGTCATACTTTTTCCCTCTTCTTCGCTCTACACAGCGTGACATAGCGTTCCATGTTCAAATTTACCCCAACTAGCATTTTATTATATCACGTATCCCCACAGAACAGAAAATATTCCGTGCGTATCCCACACTCGTTATATATTTAAATAGATATTTTTACAAAATTTGGTAGTTAGGTACATACCAGCCCAGATCGTTAAACATGTTTTAAAGATAAGTTAATTGAATTCAGCATTTAATTACATGCGAATGGGCCAGAATTGCCATTAGCGTTTGATTAGCATGTAACCGCCAAAGGAAGAAATATTTCATTGATATTATCATGATTCTTGTTTGTTTGCTTATGTAGGTATTACTTATATGACAGAATTATGACCAATCGGTAACTTTAAAGAGAAAATGATCGAATTCTTACTAACTTAGTTGCCATTAATACATTCTTTCATTTAAATGAATTTAAATTAGGTAATTCACAATTTATATAGTATAGTCTGCCAAGTTACTTGGTACCTACAGTTACCAAAAAATATACATATATCATATCTTTTCAACCCTTGGTGAGCCTTTACACATATTTGTATCTACTGAAGCATTTTCTTTTTCTTTTAAAACCCACATACCAAATAACTTTTCCATCCTTTGCAATTCCAATATCGAATAAGTAATTTTTTTTTCGTATGGGCTAACATTTTAAAAAAGATCTAACATCAAATTCCATCGAAGGTTACACATGTGGTAAAATAAATGTGGTACAGCTAACTATAAGCCGACCACATGTGATTAAAATAACGCTTAATCAATGTCATGTGAATACAGAATACTCAAAGACAACTGCTAAAGCTTATCCAAAAACTGACGAAAGCATCTTAAAGGTATTAATCCTACTTTTGTAGGTAATACTATCGTCAAATACTAGATAAGTTTGAAATAGTTGTACCTACAAACCTAATACTTTTAAATGAAACACACTTTTTTGTTAAAAATATCTATTTATGGGTTTCGGTTCTATGTTATCAGATTTTCTTTTCTCCGATCCTTATTCTTCTGCATTTGAATGAAATTAGCATTTGGTTGGCATTTTTTATTTGGGGATTAGCTACCTATATAAATTGTCTTTTTTTACTTTTTCTTAGAAAGAGAATGAATTACATTTTGAAATGTCTATATGTATTATAAACAGGAAATCGTCAAGGAAATTATTACTAAAATGAAGCTTACAAACCTATAGACAAAATATTTCAATATTACCAGTTAGCTATTTAATTTTCAATTTGGTGAGATATTACAAAATGGGTCTATTTCGGGGTTAAATAACCTAGAGCTTGAATTTTTCTGGCCATGATGTCCATTCTTGTCTAGTCTTGTTCCGTGCTGATCACCTGGACACACTACCATGCCTTTTCTCCCAAGACCTACAGGATCGAAATTTTATAAACAGACTTGGTGACAGCGTGATAATTCGTAGCATCTGAAACGTAGTGATTTTATGAACTATGTTGAAGGTTAGGTACTTACTTAATCAACAATTTTAAATATTTAAGTAGGTTTTAAGATGGATCTTTACACCAATTAATTAAGACTAAGTATAATTTTAGCGAATGTAGATAATATAGGTAGATGTTATTTGTGTTATTGTTCGACATTATTATGAACGGTACCTACCATTTTTCAAATCTGATTGTTTGCTATGGATGTACAAGCTTAATTGAACCTAATCAATTCATTACTTGTACCTACCTATCCAACGAAGAATAGTAGAAACATAAAATAGTTTGAGAAAACATCGTGTAACGGTGTAATTCTATTACATCCATAGTAAACAAATAATGATCTCTATAATCTTTGTTTCTCTTCCACTTCTTAGGCCCGTAATAAAAAAAATCTAAGCACTTTATAATATTAATTATTTTCTACTTGTATTGTAAATATGGGTCTGATTGTGTGTATGACTAAAAAACCCTGTCTACCTACCAATGAAATCAATTATCTAATGTTGCACAAAGGGTTTTAAGAATAATTATTAATAGGAAATCTAATTACAGATTTTTATTGATCACCACAATTAATTTTACTATTATCGAGCAGGAGAACGAATCAACCAGCCCGTAGCCTTAACGTAAACAAAAAAAAAGTATAAACTACTTAACGTTAGATGGAAGTTGTAAATCTTTAACGAATGTTAGACTGATATTTAAAAATATACTGACACAGACATTTATATTATATGTGTATAATAAGTTTCATAGATTATCTTTTCAGATAAATTGGTACTTACTAGTGAATATTTTTGTTAAGAAAAGTTAATAATCTTGCTCTGTCCACTTGTGTTATTCTGTAGATAAAAATACTTTATACAGGGCTTGGATTATTGATTTATTTAAAATATTATTCAATACTTTAGTGTACCACTGAGATAGTAACTGTAGGTAGGTTTATACGCCTTTGTTGCTCACAGGCATGCTTAGAGGAAAAGACAACGCTTCAGTTTCTATGGAACTGTCATCTTTAAAAAGATAATTATTTCTTTTTTATTGGCAATTGAGTGAAGTATAAATCCAAATTAATCACAATTCATAGATAACTCTTGAAACATCATCAAATCGGTTTCTATAAACATAATTTATAGTACCTACCCACCTTCTTCTTTTTTAATTAGGCACAAAATATGCAGGTCCGAAGTCAAGTTTAGGTACTCTCACAAAGCTGTTTAAAATGTTTACAAACATGAGTGGGAAGGCTGTAGTACTTATATTTTTGTGATAAATCGAATCACAATGTTATTTAATAATACAAGCTAAATGTCATAATAAAGTTTTAATAAATGTTTGTAAATGTTTTCATTGGCAGTATGGGCACCCCTTTAACGATCAATACCAGTCCTCGTTAGACCTCTTCTAGCACAAATGTCAAGCTCTATTTTTCTCATTAGAGAACACTTTGTTTTTACTATGTTATTTAGGATGAGGTTCTATTGAAACTGGTGTCTTTGTCATAACCCTTTATTTATTTTATGCAGTTTATTAAATACTTATCTAGGTGTGTATCAAAAACATCTCGAATGAATTTTGTAAATATTATAAAAAAAATATTTGTAAATCGTATGTTTAATGGCAATGTGTCGATGTTATACACTTATGATAATAAATAAATAACGCCTGATATTTTGTTTTTATTTCCTATTCAGATAAACCCAAGTTACAAATGTTCGATTTCACCCATTTTCTTGCGAAATTCGATTTTTACAAAAAATAAATATATTTTAATGTACAATGCGAGTCGACTTCGTCAAATAATAATAATCAAGGAAAGGCCCTAATTTTACACGGGAAGTATTTAATACAGCTGAGCTCATAGCTCGTAGCGCATAGATTGTAGCTCGTAGCGCATAGATTGTAGCTCGTAGCGCGTACCGCGTAGTTCAACGTAGCGCGTACCGCGTAGTTGAACGTAGCGCGTACCGCGTAGCGTTTTCCCGCTATCAATGTTGTAGACCTTTTTACAAACTACACCTTTTTTATGGGAATATCATTCTATGACTTCTCCCGCTCTCTACTTTTATATCGATAATCGATAATCGATCTGTCAATAGGTAGGTACACTAAATTTTAATTTTTTTTTCTAATATTTAAGAAATCAATACAATATAATAAACAAATTTCATATACTTAAAAGTTTTTGACATTTGGATAAAACTATTTGAATAGTTTGAAACTACTGTATTATTTAATTGGATTAAGTAAATCAATTGTTAATCCATCTAGGTACCAAGACTATTAATAACTAAAGCTAATAATTATGGGCACAACCTAAGGATCCAAATAAAACTAGGTTTTTCAACTATTTTACTTTAATGAAAAATATAGAAAAGTTACAAATCAGAAAAATATGAAGTTCACAATACAACAATAAGTACCTGCAGTACTTTTATAATTATGTCAATATTAAACACTATTCAATAGTGCACTTACTTACAATAAAACATCAAAAACAACATCACACCTTTAATATATCAAAGGTATGGATAGAGATTCAAATATTAAGTATCAATCTAAACTCTGAGTTTGGTTCGACATTTCTTCTCAAAGTAATCAGATAGGAAATGCTGGCTTCAGCTTGTTTTTTTATTATATATATAATGTTGACATGTTTATGTCGTGTTTTATGGTATATTTGCACCAATAAATTCATTGTTTGCGTACAAAAACATTAGATACTCTTACACAGCAAGACTGATATTTTTTGCTAGTAATGTTATAAATATCATATAAACTTTACCAGCTTTATCAGTCAAAACAAAATTGGTCAACAACTTCTTCACACACATTACTGTATTGGATTTAACTATTAATTATTAATGTTAGTAGCACCATGCCTCTTTATGAATTAAGTACATGACTAGCAGAATATGGCTACATTACAATAACTTTCACACAAACAAGTAATAACAACATTGAATAACAAGGTAACTTTATAATTGGACAACAATTTGAAAATAAGTAATATAAAATCAATTTAAAAAAATACAGTTTTTCCATTTTCCTTAATTAGACTTACAACACTATACCAGTACAGTACAGGTAGGTATATGTAAACCACAATAACCAATATGATTGGTAAATTAAATAGATCCAAACTTCCAAACTAATATTATAAATGCAAAAGTAACTCTGTCTGTCTGTCTTTTGTTCACACCTAAACTACTGAACCTATTTGTGCGAAATTTGGTACAGACATATTTTGGAACTCGAGAAAGGACATATGATAGTTTTTAAACCGAAAACCTGCAGGAAGTTACTATTCCATGCGAACAAAGTCACGGGCAAAAGCAAAAGCTAGTATATAGTATAACCTATCCTAATTAAGTATAATATTATTATTACAATGGGTAATACAAGGCAATAATATTGCCTCCAAAACATGAAACAAAGCTATGCTAGATTATAAAACACTGAATATAAAACGAGAAATTTAAGCAATTAACAACAAAACTTTTTGGAATGCTTCTTATGTACTATTGAGGTAGTCATCCTAAACCTTAAACATACTAAAATAAAAACAAAACACTAAATCTTACATACACCTAGTAAACTGGATTCT